ATCAGCAGCAACAACAACAACAAGAACAAGAACAATAACAAGAATAAGAAGAACAACAACAACAACAACAACAACAACAACAACAACAACAACAACAACAACAACACCAGCAGCAACAACAACAACTACTACTACTACTACTACTACGACGACGACTACTACTACGACTACGACGACAACTACTACTTCTACTACAACTGCTACTACTGCTACCACTACTCCTCCTCCTACTCTTGCTACTACTACTGCTACTACTGCTACTGCTTCTGCTACTACCACCACTACTACCACCGCCACTACTACTACGACGACGACTACTACTTCTACTACTAGTACCGGTGCCAGTACCAGTACCAGTACCAGTGCCAGTACGGTACCGGCACGTGCACTAGTACTGTTACTGGTACTGTGGTACTAGTACTATAGTTACTAGTACTGAATTCTAAGATGATTGTGAAGTAACACGACTGTCCAAGACTCCAAGAGAGACGCAACGTGATCAAGAGCCGCATGCAGTACTGGTGCCGTTGTTTTTACTAGGCCATATTTCTCATAGTTACCATTGCCCCTTGTGGTCACTCTAAGGTTGGGGACCTTACCAAGACATAAAGCCACCTCTGGCAACAAAACTTGTGGCGATGGCAAGGCTGTGATTCGTGCCTGCGACGCGGCGGGTTTTCGGCACCCACAGCTCGTGGAACTGAGGGAAGGTGGCTTTGGCACGTCAGCGGCTTCAGGATGTCAGGGTTTAGAGCCTTAGTGTCAGGCACGGAGGGAAAAGCTTGTGAAAGAAGGTACCGTCGGAATTTTTACGAGCTGTGCGAAGGACTCTGTTCCTGGCTCCGATTAAAGAGGAGGTTCAACAACCATACTGTCGTATACCTCATCTGGTACACGACTTCACGCAGAATCCAGCGAGGCCAGTCAACGTATGGTGCTGTAATGGTCCAGTCGTCGGCCTATAGCTTAAGCCTCTTCGGAACACTGCTGAAATCCGTTGTTTCTGTCCGCTTACGTTGCAGAAATCGTGGAAAAGCCCAGGATAGAGAAGCCCCAGGACGTGACTACGAGCGTAACCACGAGGGAAAGCTTTGAAGACCGGAAGAACCGAAGAGTGCAAACCGTCTTGCTTTGTCCCCACATTCTAAGTCAGAAGCAAAACCCGAGCATGACGTTTGCAGATTGTTTCAGATGCAGAGAACTGTTTAGACTGCAGAGTATCATACCGGTCAGGGCTGTAGAAGCCACGGGCAGACCTCAAGACTTTTCGCTAGGAATTCCATAGCCGCACCTGTGCTACTCCTCTCACGTCCCAGGGCTGGAGCAGCAGAAGAATGCGGCCGGGAGCTCTGCAGGATTAAGGAGTTTAGGTCGGGTCGCTTCGGTTTCAGGAGGCGGCCTCCGCGAAGTCGACCTCCACTGCTCTGGACCCATGTAAACCCCTAAGCCCCTAAACCCTCAACCCGTGAAACCCCGGCTCCAAGGCCTTGGCTCGCGAAGCGCCACCTCCCCGGCCGGAGCTCCAAGCAGAGGTCCGGTTTTGGGCTGGTAAATCAGTGTAGTTAGATTTTGGGTTTAGGGTTTCGGGGTCTAGGGTTTAGGGAGGGTGCATTAGTTCTTGTAGTGGGCCCCGGGAGATCCATTGAGCGGCCCTCAACGATGCCACCTTGACTTTGCGACGACATTCGGGGAAGCGAAGCTAGGAGATCACAAGCTCCTCATCCTCAGCTCGAGGGCCACCTTCGCTCGGCACGTCCAGGCTCGGTTTCAACCTACAGACGGGGCGCAAGGGCAACCAGACCCCACTTGGCACAGCCACCCAAGCCAAGGCGGCGAAGACAGCGCAGACCCCGGACAAGGGAGGTGGAAAGGCAACCACCGGCGATGGCAAAGGCTTGGCTAAGGGCAACCAGCAGACTGGACCTGATGTCGGCAATGGTCGTGGCCGGCCAGCCACTGGCGAAGGTGGCTCCAGAGATCGCTCCCGATCAGGACTTGGCAATACTGAAGACTGGTACGACGTCCACGAGTGTGGTGGAACTGGCAAGCTGCTTTTTCAACTCGGTCGGGGCACCCTTTGCGGCCCACCGGGATGGCTACAGCTGGGCTGATGCGCGCAAGCTTGCCAAGTCTCGCGGTGCTACCCTCAGAGCCGAAGTGGCCGTTACAAGGCTACCTCCTTCAAACCGTTTTGGTTACCGGCTGATGAGCCGACCACGGAGGCGGAGAGGGAGAACTTGCAGCAGATCGAGGGTGGCCAGCCACCGTCAAGTTGGGAAGAGTACTTGGAGGCCTTGGACAGACCAACGCGATGGGCCGATGACATCGCCTTTAAGGCTACGACCAAACGCCTGAACTGTCGCATCATCGTGCTCGTGGGCGACGTCAGCAAGCCTTCACAACCGATCGCCTATGGCAAGTCGATCAAGTTTCCGGACAACCGCGAGCAGGTGGTGACTCCGATCCTCTACAAGGACAAGCACTACCAGCTGATTTCCCACGGGTGCGACGTGGCGGCGCATTTGGCAACGGGAAGTACGACCTGATGATGCCAATCGCGCTTGGAGTGCCGAGCATGCTCGGCATCGTGTTCGTGCGCCTCAACTCGGTTGGCAGCCGATAGCGGCTAGTGAGCTTCAGCAACAGGCTGTTGCTTCAGGTGGCAAAGCGGCCGGCCCTGATGGTTCGAGCGGTGATGAGATCCGGCACTGGACGCTCCCCATGTGGCAGGCATACGCTGACCTCTGGAACAGATGGATCCACCACCGCTGCTATCCGTCAGAGTGGCAGTACTATCTGCAGGTTCACCTCCCTAAGCAAGACCCCCACCCTGTGCACGGTTTAGATGTAGGGGACGCCCGTCCTTTAATCCTTGAACCTATTCTTTGCAGGATTGCTAGTTCGGCGTTGCGCATGGCGGCTTCCAGCAGCGAGGCGTGCACACCGCTGTGCATGCTCTGCAGAATGCGTACGTACGCTGTTATGGCATACTTTCTTTAGATTATGCCAAATGTTTCGATCGCGCCCACCCCAGTACAGCCACGCACGCGCTCAGCCGGCTAGGAATGCCTGCGGAAATGGTCGACTTGTGCAGGTTTCAGTGGAGCCAACAGCACAGATGGCTTGCAAGGTTGCGTTTGTGCGGAGGCCGAAGTTGTCACTTCCAGTTTGCCCCAGGGCGATGCCATATCCCCGATGGCGCTCAATGCCATCTTGCGGGCTCCCATCCAAGCCTACTGCCGCGAGGAACCCAGGGCGACTGCGCGGTCACTTACCTGGACGATCGCAACGTGGTGGCTAGGCCTCGAAGAGAACGTTGGGAAACAGAAATTCCTCCCTCGGGGCTCTGCTGCTGCTAAGGAGGTCGGCCAGTCTGGGGCTGTTGCCGTTGTGCACACACACTTCGCATCTTGGGAGTTGATTTTCGTACCCGCATGGATGGTGAAAACAGGCCCACCTACCAAGATCGCCTGAGCGAGGCCCGCAAGCGCCTAGGCCGCGTCGGCTGCCTGCCTGTTTCTTTTATGGCAAAGTGCATGTTCTTACGACAGCTTGTCGTTCCTGTGGCAGTTTGGGGCACGTGGTTCGTGCACGGCGCGGCGAGCACGTGGAAACAGCTCCAGCAGCGCCTTGTGGGCGTTCTGTATGATGGAGGCAGATCCCCAGCTTCGCCCGACTTGCGTGCTTTGTTGCAGGGCCATAGCTTGGACTTCCAATTCATGGCAGACTACCAGACCATCTCCATGTGGGCCAAGCTCGTTCAACTTGGCCGCGCTCGCTGTCAGCCCAGCACCATGAGAGGTACCTGGCAGTATGCTGTTGTTGCCCGCGCTAAATGCATGGGCTGGCATATGCAGCCTGACAGCTCATGGACTCATCAGGCCGTTCCTAGGCAATGCATCAGTTGGGCAAGGAACCTGCAGCTGGACCGCATCAAGCA